ATTCCTGCTTCCAACTTGTAGACCTAGCCCTGCAATCTAATGGTAGTACTATTCTGCAATCAATAATGGTACATAAGCTATGTGTTTGAAAACAGCTGGAAAAAGCTTTAACAGCCTGCAACATAAAAAGCCCTCAAGACTTTTAACAGATATTTCACTTTTCTATTGTAGTCCATATTTCCCTACCCCAATGCACAGTCCCTGTGGAGAGGAAACACATGTAATTATTAAAAGATTTATTCACATGTTATTTCCTGGGAACTTCCAAGTTATTAGAATGATCTCTGACGGTGGAGATTGCAAGTGATCCTAAATAAGACAACTTAATTTCATAGGGGTTTTTTTGTTGCTTGTTTGTTTTCTATACAGAAAATGATGAGAATTTATCTAGCGGTACTTCCTCTCTTCTCCCAAAAGATGCAGGATATGAGAGCATACCTAATTCACATCGCTCACATGGGCTGCCCCAAGCTGCTCCTAAGGTAGCACAGCATTCAGATTTCAGTGTAGCACCATTGATGTTGACTTCACAGCGACTGTCTTGGATGTTAAGCCAGCAAGTCCCCTTCAGGCTATCTGCAGTGGAATAGAAAACAATATGGAACTGTCACAATAAAAAGAGCTAGCATGCCATGTTCATGCCACTGTAGAGAGTACCAAGGGAGTGCATGCTCTCTTTTAAAAGAAAACCTTCCATCAGAGTAATTTTGTACATAGTTTAGAAGTGGTGGAAAGGAATAGCACTATCACTAAAAGTGAGCAACAGAGCACACTGCTTGAGGCATTTTATAGTCTAGGTCCCACAGCTAGCAGAGGTTCTCCAGATACTACAGATTCATTTATTTTTTCTAGTGACTGATCAGTCTAAAATACACAAGTTAGAACAAAAGCAGAGATCACAACCTGGGACTCCCCCTTCCAGCTCACTGCCTGAACCACTGGCTTATGAAATCCAAGTGCTCTTGCCTCTCCCTCACTCAATGAACATTCAAGGTTGTCAGGAAGGAAAAAAAGATAAACATGTGGGGAATAAGGGTGTGCTATATTCTTTTAGGGATCTGGTCCTCCTGGTACGTTAGATGTGCTTTGAACACACCTGTTAGGTTATACTCCACTCTCTGCTCCTGAGAGCTCAGCCCCAGCACACCCAGCTCCTGAATCACAAATTGGATTGCCAGGCTGGGGGAGATTTTCAGCCACAAGTGTCGTCTCTGCTGCCTGAAATCTTCCGGAATTCTCTTTTAGGTACCCAAATCTTTGAGTCTTAAAATCTATGCTTTCAGTGCCCAATCTCTTTTTTAAAAAGTCAGTTAGATCCTAAATCAGTTACGTACTTTAAAAGTTGTACCTACAGCACCTTTGCTCAGTACCTCTACCACGTTACACTCAAATGGTACAAAATTTCTTGAAGCAGACAACAACTTTTGTGGGCAGATAGAAAAAGTAGTCTATGATTGGGAGGTCAGCCTGGGGAGAGTTTGAAAGTGTGCGCATACGTGCATACTCAGAGTTCAAAGCTAAGCAAGTGGCCCAAATGAATTTAATGAGATGACTAATGAAAGAGGAATAGGATTTGGCTTTAAGATTTACATATATTATATGTACAAAAAGCCAGACCATCTATTAGGTGCTCTTGATCAGTATCACTAATACCTCACGTTTAGGAGTGATGTGCTTAACATAGAATCATTCCAGCTTATTTTTTTTCAAACTTCAACTTTTCTACAAATTGTCATGTTATAAAATTATGTAGACCAGAGAGAACAGAATCCTTCTTTGGATAAAGGAACACGAAAAAAAATTGTCCCAAGAATGTGACTGGAACCAGCCCTAGAAACTAGGTAATGTACTTCATTAATAGTTAAGTGTAAAACAGTTGTATTATTAGGTTAATGTTGGTCTCAAACATACAGGGCAGAAGACCACACTTAAATAACTGCCCAAACCAATGAGTGGTATAGAAGAGTGGAAAAGGCATCTCTTCCACACTTTGATCAGCCATTAACTAACAGTCAAGTCTTGGGTTAACATAAGACCTAAGACGAAACCTGGGCAGTGGTTTGCTGGGTCGGCTCTTATCCAGTCATGGGATGGGCATATCCCTGGTCATCATACATCCCAAATTCAGGGACCAACATGGGGAGAGGGAATATAGGTTCTTTAGCTGCTCTTTTACATCCAGCTTTCTGCCCATATGTTGATGTCTCTGCTTTATGTTATCAAAAAGTAAGTACATCCATTGTTTTATTCACTAGAAGTTTCTTGATCTCAGTATTATTTATTTTTAGTAGCCAACTTTACAGGATGGAGAAATCAAACTAATATCTCAAAAATTATTTAAACTATACAAATTAACAAGTGACTTTCCTCACACAACCTGCATCTACTTTATCCTGCCAAAGGCTGCTTGTCTTATCTTTTTCAGGCTATGAGTTAATTTCTTTTATTTTACATAACCTCTCTTGTCCAGACAAAATCTGCAGTGGGCAGTCAGTGTGACTTTTGGTGAAAAAGTTAGTATCCATCATGAAAGCATTCTTTCTGTTACTTGCATCTCTGATTCTGACTTGAAGAATATATGCATACTACAGGCAGATGGCAGCCTACTTATTGTACATAGTATGAATTCCACAAATCTTGACTAAAACATGCATAAAAAGCCTATATTAAGTGCATATTTCAAAAAGCACAAATGGCAGTGTTCCTACTGCATGATAGCAATGCAACACTTATACCACCGATAGAGGCATTTCAAAAACAATTCCACTTTTTTCCTCTAAGAGTACAGCCTCAATCTTGCAAACACTGTCAGTGTACAAGCAAAATAAATGCAAAAGATGTCAACATTTTTGCCGAATGCTATTATTGTAACTTCTGAACTCACAACCCTCATTTGCTGGAGGTTTGAGCTCAAACTTGAGTTCAAATGTCACGACTTGAATTCAGACTGTAATTTGAGGAAGTAAGTTTTCCTCTACCCAGGAAAGGTCACAGAAAGAGATAAATGGCTCACACCTACACTCAATTTCTACAGGTAATATGGATGCAAATGGCTCAAATGACCTGTTTTTTCAGCCTTGAGGATGAACAAACTGAGCAAAGGAACCAGAGTAACTGACAGACTAAAGTCTTCTGTCCACAAACTGAGTAAAGAACATGCATCAGCCACATAGCTTCTCCATATAAGATCAGTCCAATGTGCTGTACATGACCTGAGTCCACTAGACAGTGAAAATTAGCAATAAGGCCAAGTAGCAACAAACACAATGGAGCAACAAATTGTAAAAATAAAATTAACAATTATGTTCTTAATTCTTTCTTATTCTAATATTGTTGTCGTGCTTTTACTTAAAAAATAAGTGCCATTTTTACATTCAATAACTTTAATCATCCATTATGAAACAAAGGAAGAAAAACTTATAATGTAGGACTAATTCTGATTCTGACATGACAGCAAATTTGAAATTAAAGAAAAAATAGAGAGGGGTCAGAATTTGACATTACCTTACTTTGATCATTCATATGAGCAATACAACATGTTCCCAAACGACAACACTATTTTAGGCCTGTATTTATATTTTTGTGTATGCTTTTCCTATCTGATGCTACAGGAATGCTTTACAGGAGCAATCTGCTAAAAAAATTAGGGCAAATATATTCAATATACAAGTGTTTCACCGCAGTGGTAATGGGAAAAAACAACTTGCTCTTCTGCGTAGAGATATAAAATGGCATACATTCAACAAGAGCATTTGCAAGGTTTTCACACAATAAACTACCTATAACTTCCAACTCCTTACTCACTTTTCAATAATCCAGTCTGCCCTCCTCTCATCATTACCGATTCCAATGGAAATTTTGCCAAAGTAGAAAAACATATAACTGAGCTCTAGCAGTATAAATCTGTACGTCTTGCATTATCTGTACGTCTTGCATTAGCTGTAATTCTGACCCTTCTGTCCTAACATATTCTCACCTGTAGTACAGAAAACTCTTCCTGAGACAATTTTGGTCAGTGAAAAAAAAAAAATGATTAGGCTCACAGTATATAGCTAGCTCCTATTCTTCACTTTTTATCGGATTGTTCAGGTTATTTTTTTGTTTACATTTTTTGTTGCATATCACTAATATTCAAGCCAAATGGGACCTCATGCTGTGAACATCCCAATGGAAATCATTTGCAAAGTAAATCCAGAACATTGTTATAATTAGACCCTTAGTGAACTTGTAGCACCTTTGGATGCAAGAACACAAGAAGATTAGAAATAAGCGGTACAAAAAAGCATAGGTTAGTGTGGTCATATAAAGAAATTAGCACAATGTAAACAAGAACAAAAACAATACTAAACTTTACTGGCCAGTGGTGCTACAAGGAAATCTAAGAGAAGGCTTAGGCACAAAAGTAACATTCACCAAAAAGACTTATTAAGGGATAGACAGACTCCATCATCAAATGGAAACTTGAGTCTTTGCATTCAATTTCCTGTCTTAAGAGAAACTTGTCAAGGCAAGAAAGCTGAACCAAGAACACTACACAAATCTGTCTTAAAATAAAAGGAGTATTTAAAATTAACATAATCCAGTTATTAATGACACTCACACCCAGTTTATGCCACATATCCTACAATGCCTTCAGTTGAATGACCCAAATAAGATGAAACAATGGCAGCTTGTGATCACCTGAGAAGAATAAATGTTTCCAAACCTTTGAGTTTTCTAGGAAAGGCATGAAAAAAACTTTAATGAATAGTTTCCAAAGATAATGCCAATGACATCTCGCAGACAACTGTTGCTGCTAGCTCCAATAAAATCTGTGCAGTGCTCTGTTTTTGTTTTCAGTGCAATAGAATTCTCAAAGGATGATAACTTTTTTTTTTAATATATATATAGAGAAATAAATAAATACAATGTGTGTGTGTGCGGGCGCATGTGTGCGTGTTTTGTGTGTGCGTTTATGCAAAACCAATAGAATACTCATGTGTCTGCTCCTGGGGCAGTGATCCAGACAAAGTCAGATCTGTCTGACTCACCTTTACCAGCTTCCTACAAAAGAGCTAATGTATGAGATTGTGCTATAATGCAAAAGTCATTAACATTTCCTTATAGCTAGGAAAGTCATTCTTCACAGTTTATGAAGAACGTCCTAAACTCTAGAAGCCATGTGCTCTCCTATCACTATTTGAGTATATGTTCCTACAGTTTTACTTGTTTTCTTGTGTCACATTTAAAAGTGGCCGAAGAACCGAGTTGGCATTTCTGCTTTAGGGTTTCTCAACTACCAGACTAATCACCTATAGCTTTACTCATATTCTCATTCTCCCAAAGGACAAGATAATTCTTATTAATAATAAGACATCCCCACTTGCTCCCACCAATCGATCGATATCTGCATTTCACCACTTTCACCATAGTTTGGAATCCCTCATGAATTATGTTTCTCCAGTTTGTTCCTGCTCCCATGGAAGCAAACAAATTAGTACACATTTGTTTGGTCTCACCTGCAGAACTACACGTATTGCTTGTTACCCTGAGGAAATTACCCAAATACATTATTTTTTTGCTAATTAATCAATATTATCAATGTTTTTCAAGTTAGTAAGAAAAAAGGGAAAATACAAGGAGGAAAGACCCACCAATACATATCAGTCCTGTAGAGTCCAACTTGCTGCCAGGTGAACATTCGCAATTGAAAGATCCAAGATTGTTCCTGCAGGCACCATTGACACAGGGGCTGTTTTCACATTCATTTACATCTATAATCCAGAAACAAAATATACTGTTAGAATTACGAAGTGCTTCTGGAAAATATACTGTATAAATCTTGCTGTGGACCATGATTTGCCAAGACCGCAGGGTATATATGCCTCCCCTCCTCTCTGTATGACATTCAAAAGATATAGGGACAGGTAGGTAGCATGTATGTGCACATCTATAGGAGCGCATATTTTGACAGTGTTACATAAATAGCTCTTTTCCACAAAGACAGTAATTTCCAACAACTTGGACCATAAAGTTTTTCAGCATCAATTATAACTGTCCTGTGAGAAAACAAAATTCTTTTTTTTTCATAGGAAGCAATGCATTCCCAGCCACAACATGCAGTGCACAAACAAAGGCCTTGTTGTTTCTGTCATTTATGGCTCAATGAGGCTTTGGAAGAATTAAGAAAACCCTGTCAGAAGCAAAATATTACAATGCTGGCTGTGATTCCCTAGTTCTGGAAAGCATTCAAGAAATAGGACTTAAAACTGGAAGACTGTAAATGGTACTTCTCTCTGGCCCCTAACTCCTTCTATTTATTACCCCTGTTGAGTTTTTTAAGCCTATTCACATGTAAGAATAGGACCCCTGCAGACAGTATTATTTGTTGTTTTTTTTTTTAAAGTGAAATAAGTTTTAAGATTAAAACAGTACTAGCAAATTCTTTCAAAGAAAATTGCAGATGGATATTCACCATTTCTTCCTAAACTCAACCAATTTAATTTTTTAATTTGGGTCCTGAATCAACCCATAAGTTCTAATCCAACTAAATAGTTCCTTTGGTGTGTCAGAAATAAAGCTGCTTAGTGCTTGCTTATGTTTGCTAGTAGTGCTTGAGGAATAATGTCATATCCATAAACTAAAATAGCCTCATGTACGTTAATTATAAATTAATGCAAGATCTAGTTAAAGCACTGGAAACAGTAATAGCATCAAGAGAACATTTTCAAGACAAACTAAAATAGCTTCCTTACTTTTCAGAAGTCATGAAAAAGGTACCATTTGCTATTTGATCTGTTATGATGCATCAAGCCTTCATCTCACTAAATGTATTCTTTAATGATCTGTGGTCATAGGAAGGAATGTGTTTAAAATACCAAATTATGCAGATATCATTAAAAAAAAAAGGAAAGAAAAGAGAGAGATGGAACATGCCCAGAATTCAGTAAATTCAGAAAACTGTGATCTCTCTATTCATGCCAAAAGCAAGCACTTAATTTAAAAGCCAATTTTTACAGTCCCTTTACCTAATGGAATTACCTACACAGAGCAAATAGGACTTGTCCTTGAACACCCATGAGTTTTTGAATAGCAACAGAGCTTTACACTTGTGAACTCTACTCTTAACATTGTGGATTACCCAGTTTACACATTTATCATACACAGATCCAGAGATATAAAATCTAGGAGGCTTATCGGGTCAAAAGAGTGTGTTACATGAACACACCCACACAGCTTCAATGGCTGGGCTAACTGTGTTGGCAGTGCCTAAGCACGTAAGCACCATCCTACTTTGGGCTGGTAGTCCCACAGGGCATTAGGCAGAGCTTCCACATCTCTCTGCAAACAGCCTGCTTAGACACAGTCATGTTGTCTCAGGCTGGGTCCTGAGCCTCCTTACTTTGGAGAGTGCAGCACAGTGTATGAGCAGGTAGGGCCAGGCTGGCTCTGGCACTGCTCATGTACTAACTTGATGTGCTGGGAAGTGCAGTAACGAGGTAATCAGGTAGATCTAGAAAGCCAGTTAGTTCTGACAGAGCAAGCTCTGCGTTCCTCTGCATCTGAGCTGGCATCTGGAGAGCTCACCAACATTTATCTATTCTGTATCCCTTCTTCTCCCTGTAAATACATTTCACACCTTATTACCTAAGGTTTTATTACCCAAGGTATGCTCCCTGCCTCCCTTGCCTCCTGCTCTCTCCTCAGCCAGCAATACCTGCTGCTTTTGCAGAGAAACCAAATATCTGGTTCCCATAATTAGAAACAGATCAGAGTGAGACAAAGAAGTAATTTTAAATATGCACTATATGTCGAATAATCCTCCATATAGAAATGCTGTCCAAGAAAGATACACTTTTTCTTTTCCATCTGCTATCTTGCTTTCAGCAGTTTGGCTAGCTTTAAAAAAATGAGAAAAATTGAAAAGACAGGATAAAGTAACTAAATTTAAGCTATACATAGTTTCTTCCTATCAAAGGCATCAAATGTTCACTGTCTCTTAAAGTCCAGGAACAAAGGGATGCCCAATGAAGATAGCTGGCAGCAAAACAAGTAGAGAAATGGCTCTTAACACAACAGGTAGAGAAATTGAATGGATGCTGAAAGCTTGCATTAATCAGTGGCAGTCTGGACCAGTTCCTGGAAGATACATTCATCAAGGTCTGTATAAGGTAAAGAGCCTACTTCTGCTGTCAGAAGTCCCAGCTGGGGATGCATAGAGTATTTTTGCAATGTAATGTTGTATACTTGCTCTCTTGTGGGTCAGAAAGATCTTCCATCAGTCTCTACATTTATGTCTTTGCTTTTATGTAGATATGATTGTCTGGCCAGTCACTTGGAAGTGCTCTTCCCTGCTTTTAGCTAAGATGCAACTTTAAAGAAGATCCTGTGAGGGACCAGGCATAATCTGTGCCACAGAATCTTTGGGGCTTTTGGACATCAAAAATAGTCTCCATGCAAAATGAGACTTGCAACCTGGCCACATCTGAGTACATTTTCAGAGTAAAGAGGCACCACCCTGACACAAAAACTACTCAGGAAATTTCAAGTTACAACAGCATAGAAGAGCAACAGCTTTTTAGAGAAAAGGTCACAAGGTTTGCATGTTTCTAAACACACAAATCAACATTTTCTTAAAAATGAACAAAAAGTTTTGTCTGAATTTTTTAAAGGGAAAATTAAAATCTAGTCTGACTCAGACACCCAGTGAAGAACATTACAGGTCACATGCTTGAAGTCTGTTGAAAACATTCCTCTTTCATCCTTCCTCCTCCTTTTTCTCCCAGTCTCAGTTTCTACCCTTCTCAAGTGTCAGTGCCAGCCCCTCACTCATCCCACAAATAGTCACTTTCCATCTTCTGGGATGAGAATGGCAGAAGTTGGTTGCCAAGCCTTGGGGTGAAGGAAGATGTATTATGGAACCAGGCTCCTCTTCATTTTACTTTGCCCTGATGCAGGTGACGAAATACTCATCCCGTTTCTCTCTACAGAGTGGAAAGAGGGAGAGCAGTTTTCACTGAGGATTAGGGTATGCATGTCTGGAGGCATTAACTTCTGGTTGTTTCTAAAACGATCTTGTGACTATGCTCTAGGCCTCTAACCCTGAAAAAAACGGTTCATTACTTTCTGTATTTGACATGCTTCAGCACTATGCTAGGAAAAAAAGAACAAAAAAGAAACAAAACAAAGAAACAAAAACTAAACCAAATGCTTTTGAGTATTAACAAGTTTATAATATTGCATTGACTACTCCTCAAAACCACCATTCAGGAAAAAAAAAGCACTTCAGCATTAGTGCTCTGCTGAATCAGGTGAAAAAGTGTCATATGCACAATGTAAACAAACTAAAAAAATTGTTTCCATGCACCTACTTATAACAACATGAAATTGTAATTTTAATAACAGTGAGCAAGCAACCAAATTGATTTTAATTCCATTTTATATTTTAAAATAAAAGCCACTATGTATGAAAATATTTATCAGAGTTTTTTTTTAAAAAAACATTTTTTTTTGTAAGTCAAGTGACTGTACATTATAAATATACAGAGAGACAAAAATTGAAACAGTCCACTATACATTCCTGGAAATGAACTTCAAAGCACATCTGGTTTACATTTAACTAGTTATGTCACTGGAAACACAATCTAAGCCCCACAACTTGTTGTAAAAATCTCAGCTTTCACAGACTTTGGAACTCCCCCACTGCCCACAATAAATTGATAAAGAATTTCAATTTAATTATAAATGAAAAAAGTGAAGGGTTTTCCTGTTTCTTCACAGTTCCTGTTAAGAGTTATATTAAATAAAAATATACTGGTGAGTAATAGGCATCAGAACATTTTCAGAGCACAACGCAAAGCTTCTGGCTACAGAAGTTTTTTACAACTAGTGAACTTGTAACTCCAAACTGAATTACATAGTGTTTCTTTGAAAACAGAATTTGGACAGAAAGAGATGAATTTATTCCTCTACTCCCAAACCACTCAACATGAGAAAAAATGTAATATATTTAATAGGTTTTATAAACAGTTTTATACCAAACCCCTCCTGATCAGCTTTTTTTACCTGATCAGCTAAATTTAAACATCAGTCTATGAGATTCAAGATGAAGATGACAAATCTTTCATGACCTATGTATGTAAGTTAATGTAGGTAAAAATATTGAAAGAAACTGAAAATCCTTCAGATTCTGCTTTACAGACAATTAAAAAATGAGAAATATTTTAGGGTGATTATACTAAACGATCTTCAGAAAGGAAATACTCTTATAAATCTGAAGTTTTAGTTAATGATTAGTTGGGGGTTTTTTTCTCCCAAATGAGAAGACAGGATTTTTTTTTCTTCCATTAACAAAAAGTTTTGTTATTTTAAATATTATTTCAGCATTCATGTCTAATCAGAAGCTCATTGATCAGAGTTCAGCAGACATACAGGATTATGAATTACAGCCAAGAGAAGCAGAGCTGCTGTTATTCTATGAAGACGGCAAAATATTCTCCTTTTCAGTAACAAGCTAAAACTGATGAAGACCATGAAAGGAACATAATACTGGCATAGATCTATCCTTTTTCAGAATCTTTCGGAATATCAAATAATACTATTTCATTAGTCTTTGCAGAAGCCACAGTACAAATACTGCAAACGTACAGATGCATGTTCTTTTATGAAAAGTAAAAAAAAAAGTTTAAAAAATGAGATTAAATGTATTAATTAAAATCTCACCAAACCCACCAAATAGAAACCCAAACCACCTTAATGAGCCTGAATGATCACCTCAGTCATTATTCTTTCACAACAGAACAGATTTTAATTCACATAACACTGTGCTTAAATAAGGTGTGTGTGCACTTTCTAACTCATGCTCAGATTGGCTCGAGTTGTGAAATATCTCAGTTCCCATATTACTAGATGAGGCACTATGTTAGTTTCAATCAATCATATTGGTTCCTTATTCATGTTTTTATAATTGACTCATAAACTGGTAATTTGCGGAATGCACCTAATTCACTTAGACAAAACCTAAAAGTGGTCTCATACCTCAGAAAAATGCGCTAAAGTGTGCAGGGGACATGCCTGCCATTTGGATTTCTGCTAGTATCTTCTCTTCATATACTTTCATGTAAATTCTATTTTATCTTAACTGTAACTTTTTTTTCAATACCATGGTTTTGCAGTCAATATCAGCTGGCAATGCTATCTGAAGAAGTCACCCTTTCCTCAATGAACTATTAATTCAAATGAACGAGCAAATTCACTTCCACTTCACAATAAATCTCCACTTCACAATAAATCTCCCTCATGCTATTCTCCACTTACACCCCCTTCAGAAAAAAACTAAGATAAGGGACTCCCAGATTTGATTCACTATATCATGATTCCCAAACTTCTAGCACAAGAGAAAACACACTGCAATAATGATAAGGATGTCCAGAAGACAGAAAAGATCATGTTTTTCCTAAGGCTGTGGTGGTTCAATGCAACCATTTGAAACCACTTTGTTGTTGTTGTTAAATCCTTATTTTGAGCCTTTATATTAATATTACTATTATTATTACTATTAAAAACAAATTTACATTTTATATTTGAAAAATTAGATACATTTTATTTCAATAATTTTGGCTAAGTTGTTCGCATTCTCACATCTCATTCATCTACATTTTGGTCACTGTTATACTCTGAAGTTGATGGCCTTCCATCTTGATAATTAACATCTCCCTTTACCATACTATTCCAGTTTTTCTGTCTAGAAGATTCGTTAAGAAACATGCACATTAAGAGCAGACAACAAACTATTTTCACAGCTAGAAATCTTCCAGTGCACAGAAATCAAATATATAGACAGACCCTGAAAAATAAATTTCACCTGCATGTTGTTGACAGATCCTAGGCATTGAGACAATTTAGCAGAGAGCACTACAAATCCATGGCAGTATGATACAAGAAAATCTCTAATCTGAACAAGTGCTACTAAGTTGTAACATACAGGGAGAGAAGAAATTTTAACTTTTAAAAGTGACCTCTGAAACACGTATGTACTGAAATATAAAGGAAAATAATTTCTTTTGAACAGGAGTGAAGAAGTGAATGATTTGATACTGCCAGAATTTAAATAATTTCATGAGATATTTTGGATATTAACACATGTTCACTTTCCAAACAGTTGGAGACATTCAAAGCACTATTGTCCCCCCACGTTGCTTACTTCCACTCCTCTGCTGAAAACTGGCAAAGAGTGCATGAGTGCTCCTCATCTGCTTCAGTGCAAAGTTAGCCCACTCAGCATATGCTAAGAAAATTGTTTAAGTTAACCTGGCTGATCTTACACAGCAAGAATTGTTTACAGAGTGCTTCCACTTTCCTTTCTATATGTTTATTTAGCTGTATGGCAGTAACTTCTGTCTGATTGGTAAAAACAAGCAGCAGAGGACATTAATGCCTTCCACTGCTTCAGACAAATGTCATCTGGACGATGACATTGATTCACATAAAAGGTATTCCATAACAAAGGATTATAGCTTCCCCATCACTCACTCAATAGCAAGATTAGTTATTATAAAAACTTTCTAATGATAGCAAATATTGAGATTTACAGATCATGGAACCAAATAAAAAATAATGCAAAAGACCAGTAAAATTCTATCACTCTGAATGCTAATTACCATTTGAGACAAAAGCTAATGCTTCTATTTTGACTTTTTTTTTATACCTTTGCTTAGGTTTTTTTTAATAATGAAAACTTCTCATTAGTTTCTGTTATGTAACATTTTCATTGATCTAACATCTGTGTTCATTAATAATATAAGAAAACAATTTTGATTATACCATAAAAACAAAGGACAATTCTAGTATCACTAGGCAGTCATATCCAGATCCTGGAATTCAAACATCACATAAAGCATTACAAATACCAGAATTTGATCTACAATTAACTATTGCCACAGACAGAAGGGAGAAAAGAAAGAAGAGACTCTGTGATCAAAATAGATGCATTTCCCTAAATGATAGACCAGGTGTCCCTGCTACATGATCACAGGCAAGTCTATATTCCCCTTTATTTCAGCTTAATGTTTTATCTAAGGAAAGGGAAATATTTTTATATAAAAATGAACTGATTACTTTGAAAGAAATCCAATGGCAAGACCCAACACAGTAAAAAATACTGCAGAGAAATTACAAGAGGAATGCAATGATTTACACAATACTTTAGTTCTGTCTTTTTCTCTGGTATTCATCCAGATTTCTCTGAATCTTTTGTGATTATTTAGCTTTAATATTATATAACAAGCAATGAAATTAACACAACTTGCAGATTTTTCACCTTCACATGTGTCTGTCTCAGTGCTGAACACATAACCCTTTGGACAAGTGCAGCCGTAACTTCCAGGGGTGTTTCGACAGAGGCCGTTATCACACAGCAGCCCATTCACTGAACATTCATCAATATCTGTAAAAAGATGAGTTAGACATACCAATGAGTGCAAATGCCATGAGATGCCTTTACCTCCACAAGTAGCCCCTGTTGCTTTCAATTAGGTTGCTGGATATGCAGTTTTCTACAGCAGTGACTGAGCAAAGAAAAATGCCAATCCTTAGTTTCAAAAGGCTAATTCATTTTCAGATTCTTATTACCAAAAATTCTGTTCTACTTTTAAAGTTTTTCATTAGCATGCTCTACAAATAGTTCATGGTCAGTCTTAAAATAATAATTATGTTTTTCTGGAATGACCTTGGGATCTTTGTCAATTTATCATCATGACAACTTCATGAAGGTCTGTTTGCTTTGAAGCCAGCATTGTCTTTTTTTTTTTTTTTTAAACACACAAATAACGGTGTGTTAAATTACTGTTCTAATTCTGTTTTATGGGCAAAAATTGATTTTGTTATCCATGAAGCGAATATATGCATTAAAATCTAAATTGTATAGTTCACCTATGGCAGATATCTCAACATTACACGCATGTACCTCCCCTCCAGAGATATACTGTATTAAAAAAAACCCCTATGATTAAGACCAGGGTATCAAGCACACTGAATAGGAAAAAATAATAAATTAACATCACTCCTTAAACTCCTCTTGTATTAACTGCAAATAATGCTAATAAAAAGAAATCAATCTTCCTCATTGCTGTATGGTTTATTTGTAAAAAGAAAAAAATATGATTTTAAGCTACTTTCCTTTAATGGCCATCACATGTCACAAATACTTAAGCTTATAGAAGAATACTGACAGGATAAGCCATAATAAACCCGACACTTTATCCTGCTTCAGCGTGTCTCCTCTATTTTGACTGCTTGATTTCCCAAACTTAACACTGCAAATGAAATCTTAAATCAACTAGATTAGAGAGTTTAAGCTTAAAAATAAAGAAGAAAACCAAGAATGCAATATAATTACAATCTGGAAGCTTTTGGTTTCCCAACTACATTAGATTTTGCAAGCTATGCTTATAAATTCCTTTAGGATTCAGACAATAAAGTCTAAGTTTCCCCAGACGATGAATCCAAGATTTAACTTTGGCAGATGTAAAGAAGCTTTTCTAAACTAACCTGCCCTTAATCTAACCTCATCTGATTTTAACTAAGCAAAGGACGATGGATTTGGAATTTGATGTTTTCAAGAGCAACAGACTTTAATTTTGACCTTGTTGTCATATAGTTCTTTAACCCAAACTAGCAGTGTTATGAATGTATTATTTCCTTCAACTATCACAGAATATCTTCAGATTTGGACTGTAATGTATTGTGATATGCACTGTAAAAACACAGAATGATATAGCTTGTGCTCTAAAACCACTTAAAACTGATAAAAATACAGTCTGCATTCTGTATGATGACCATTTTTATTTCCTGGCAGCTCATAATCTGTATCATTAATCAAAACATTTCAACCCTTTATTTCAGTGATCATAATTAATTTTTTTCACAAAAATTCTCATATCTAAGAATAAATGCATCCTCACAGTTTGTATGCTCTATTTTTATTTAAATAATTAAAGACATATACCTATACTAGTACCATATAATTTCAAGTTTAACTAGATAAATAAAATCCCTTGCCATAAAATCCATTTGGAAAAGGAATATTATGTGAAGTATTTTAGAAAACCATCAACAGTTTTCTGCAGCACTGCCTTTCCTGCCAAAAGGTCATATTTAGGGCCTTTAGAAAATAACTAGCTGTAAAATTCCTTAAGTCAATGTGTTGGGTTTGCATGGCAAGGTT